TGAAATCCGAATCTATATTTGACATTAATAATAGCTTTTCACTTATTCTGAGCGAAATTTGTTCACTTAAGCTCCATATTTTCTCTTATTTAAGCTAAAGTTGTACATAACTAAGAACGCAACTAAATAGCATATAATGCGCACAGCGTCTTTATTTATAGCCAAAGACGCTGCAAAATCTAAAAAATTAGAAAGCCTTGAAATTTGTAAAGGTGTGGTAGATAAACTCTTGAGGCAACACTTTAGCCAAATACATATTTTGCAAAATTACTCAAAGGCAACGTATACTTCGTTTTTATAATTTGAACAAAACACTACTAGGAAAGTTGCTTTATGTAAAATGATACCTACACTGCTTGCTTTGAATAAACACTTTCGTTCTCAAAGATTTTAATGGACAAGGTTCAGTTATGTTTGTGCCATTGCTCTATGCTCTGTTCGTGAATCAACAAAACTGAAAATCTGCCACCTTTTTATGCATATTTATGAAGGGCGGTACTCGGTTTTCCCTAAGCAATTGTTTTCTATCGCTCCGTCTACACGCAGCGCAGCAGGTTAGCAATTCTTGGCCAAATATTTACAACAGCAGGGAAACACAGTTGTGATTTCAGTATATTGCCATTGGGAACTCCTGTTATGTAATCCATTGTCATCGTCAGCGCAACTACCTTAATATAAAAAACACGAAAGTTGAGGCATATATGCTCCACCGGTTGAGATGGATTTTCCTTTTGAAGCGCTATCTTAAGAGAAACCTTGAATTTCAAACATGCACATCAAGAATTACTTAAAAAGCAGCAAATAGATTCTCGGTGAGCTTTTTCGCGTAACGCTGATGTTTAGACTTAGAAATTGGGAAAACTTGAACGGCACTGACTCTAATTTAAGTGCCCGGTAGATTTAGGCTGCTTGCGTACCCTCCGTCTCAATGCTTAACGCTTAACCATTTGTGCAAAAAACACTTTGCTGAACTTAAAACTGAAGTTTTGGGTCTTTATTGTCATAGTGCACTCGTGTAAAAACTGCAAAATGCTCTAATAATGGTAGGA